CATCGGATTGAACACTCGCAATCCGAGCTCCGGGCTTCAGATAGCAGCCTCCTCAGCGCCTGATTCAGACCATGCAAGATCTCTTCTTAGGACAAATCATGGGAACCTAAACAACCTCTATTTGTGCTTTTTGAGAGGGGGGGGGAATAACCCGCTTTGGGCGCGGCAGGTATATGAGCCCATGGGAAATCCATGTGACCCAAGAGGCAGGCGTCAGCCATGAGGGCCATTCAACTCAGGGGCTACTTCAAGGTGAATGGGTTACATTCAGCCTTTCAAAGGAGAAAAGGGGGGGTTGACCGTTTCACCAAGGCTGGCAATGCTTCCCACGCCCCGTTGCCCCGTTGGCCTCGCCTTCGGCATTCCGCCGAAGACTTGGCTGTTCTGGACGTCGGTGCCTTTGAGGCGCAGAACCTTCTGTTTGTCCTTGAACTGCAGGGTCAGCTCTATGAGGTTGGGCCTCGCGCGAGTCCGAATTCGAAAAGACCAATGGACCAAAGCTCTCGCAGATGCGGCCTGTCGGCCCACAGTGTTATGGTCAGCAAATCGCGGACGTGCCGGCAAGCAGCTTTGTCCCCTGGCACGCGTCAAGACCTCAAGCTCTCCCCCGTTCTCGACGCAAAGGGCTGAGTTTCTCGGATTCCAGAGCCTTCCAGAGCTGGCAGCAGCTGAGTCTGTAGCATACGGATGGCTTGAGCCTGCGGCTGGGATGAGGCCAACTTGAACAACTTCTCACGCCCGCCTGGTGAAAGATGGCCAACTGCTTCCATACGCTTCCTGGAGCCAAAGGTGACCGTTGGAACCGTGGGGTGAGTTCACGGCCCAAAAACGCAGCAGGACCGCTCGGTTTCGACCGCTCTTGCTCAGTCCTCCCATCATCGGATTGTGGCCTGCATGCGGGTGTCGCATGTCAATTGCGACACGGTATCAACCTTAGGGGCCATCCATGCGATTGGAATTGTACACCATGCCAAAAAGGAGTTCTTGATTTTGAGGAGGAAAAACGGCGTAGTGTGAAATGCTGATCGAAGAGAAACCCGAATACATCAGGCCAGTGTCATTGACTTGCAGACTTCAGGGTAGGAGTTAAGCTAAGCATTAGTCCAAACCCTGGCTTTCAGGCTCAGATATTTGGAACAGAGCTTAATGTCAACTTCGGATGAATCCGAATGCCCTTTTAGAGTTTGGACCTTTTTGGATTCCTCCGAGTGGTCCTCTGGGTTTATCCGAAGCAGTAAAGGAATTCAGTGAATGGGAAAGCCCTGCCGTTCATAACGCAGCATTTGTCCCTGAATCCCTCACCGAAAAGAAACAAGTCCCTGCACAAAGGTGGACACAGTCCCCGAATTACGCATCGGACGAAATATCATTGTATCTGGAAAACGCGCGTTGTGTGCTGTGCACCTGTTTGCTTCCTGCTGCTGCTGCTGCTGCTGCTGCTGCTGCTGCTGCTGCTGCTGCTGCTGCTGCTGCTGCTGCTGCTGCTGCTGCTGCTGCTGCTGCTGCTGCTCCTACCACAGTCATGGCCGGCAGAGGGAGTGCCTAGCTGTCCTTCCGCAGCAAGCGGGGCACTGGCAAGTTGGCAAGCGAATAGAGAACCCAGCTGACACCTCAAATCCATCTACGTCTTGCAACAAAAAATGAGTGGCCCAACAAAAAAATCTCTGACACCTCAAATCTCTGACCCAACAAAAAAAAAAGCGCGCCAAACTTCCCGAGTGGCATGGCCCTTGACTCCCCACTCGAGTTCCCGATCCGTTGCCTTGGGGCCCAACCACGATGATGTTTTGGCTCGGAGAAGCGACGTGCCACCTCCAAGCCAAGCCACACAGCCCAGCTAGGGGTGCCGGATCCATGTCCATTCTGAACCCAGGGATCCGAAATCTGTTCAGGAAACCATCGAGAAAAAAAAAAAAAAAAAAACCCAAAAAAAAAAAAAAACAGGTTGGAAACGGATCCGGTGTTTGAGAAGAACGATGCTTGAAAAGAATAGGGAATCAACCCCTAGAATCTACCGGAATGCCTGGGCGGGACGACTTTTAGGAATCAGCGACTGCAAGTGATGTTTGCTTGACTTGTCTGTCCCAGACATGCGCCACTGAAGCTTTCATGATGACCCCAAGATCGGGCTTCGCACAGGATGAATCCGAGGCGCGAGCATCATAATCCTAGGCCGTCCGATATCTTCGGTCCTCACATCGGGCAATCTATTTGAATCAAGGATGGCGAGCTTCGGCACGAATGATGTTTGTCAACTCTGAGCAACCTTGCAGTCCAGTCATTCACTAAGATACCTGCGGCAGCCTCATTTTTTGCCGGGTCCGTTTCAGCCATCCGCGGACATCTTGTAAACAAAAACCAGCGCAACCAGACGTCCCACTCGAGCAATCCCAAAGCGGCGTCCACAATTCCCGGTACTGGGCTCTTGGCGGGAGGACCTAGTCGATGAGGTGGTGGGAGTTGCCAGATGTGCTCGAGCCGAGGCGCGGCGATTGCACCGACCAGTTTCCTTCCAGAAGGGAGATCTGGGAAGCCAGTTCGGCGATTGAAGAAAACAGAACACCCGACCCAAGAGATCGAAGAAAACCCAAAAGGAAGTTATGGAATCTTAGGTCTTTGCAAACCGCCCTTTGTGGTGCCATGTTTCAAGCGCTTTTTAATTTGAATGGTGGCATTGTATCGGGACATGGCTGGGCAAGTCCAAGAGCTTATGGACTCCCTGGGTGGTTTGAGACGGAAAAACCCAGAGGAGCACCAACCAGTTTTAGAGGGCAAGTACCTCAGATCTGGAAGCAGCGATACGGATGGACGAAATCCTTTCACGCCACTTTGAAACCAAAGTGGAAACCAGCTGTTGTTGTTTACGTTGGGGACTCAAATCAGAAACCGGGGATCCCGAACGGGTGCGAGTAAGCGGGGCACCATCCCCCCTGGCCCGCCAGCTCCTGCCAGCGCGGTGAGCATGCGCTTTGGGGCCTGAGATCTGCATCCAGAAGGCCTTCTTCTCCCCCCTCAGCTCACTTCCGATCGAGTGGGCTTGCTCAGAAAAGTAACCAAACCTTTTATGGTCTCACACAAGGAGTGAGCTAAAGATGGGATGAAGGATGAGGTTCTGTCCATGTGGGGCGGTGTTTGTTTTTGAGGGTACGTCTGGGGCCGGCTTTAAAGGACAACAAAGGTTTGAAGGGATGAGGTTGAAAATAAGCTCCACCCTCAACACCTACAGGGCCCACCACACAATCAGCCCACATTCAACGTGGTTTTGGAGAGATTGTGTCTTGATTGAGCACCTGGGTGTCTGGCGCCAAGGCTGCCAAAAGAAGAAGTTTACCAACTACTCAAGCTTCTGGGCTTATCTTCCCGTTGGGCGTCTAGGCATCAACGGTCAAGTAATAGAATTGTCGTCCAGGCGGTTGTCAAAATACTTGCCCCCTATGTGGGTCCATTTGAAGGAAGCGCCAATCTTAGCCCCGAACGTCTCTAGGGAAAACAGAAAGCCCCATGGACCCATGCAGCATGTATGACAAGCAAAGGCTCTCTTCTGCCCAGTTGCGCGCAGTGAAAAACACATGTTGCACGGCGCTTGAGAGATGTGGCTGGGCCTTTCTCCAAAGTAGCGACCGCCTGGATGGTTGGTTTCCTCTAGGGCGTCCCTTGGGTTGGGAAACGGGGACTGGGCAAAAGTGGGGGCAAGTCACCCCCATGTCTTCCCGGCGGCCTGCAAGAAAGCGGCGGATGTCCCCGTCCTGGCATTGCTTGGGCCAGGGCTGGAACGGCAAGGGATGGTTTAGAGGTTGTCGACTTCTGTTCGGCAGATTCACTGGCTCGAGGTAAATCAAGGGCATGTGCGTCACAAGGAGAAGCTCACAAGCCACATGGTCAGCAAATCTTGCTCTTAAAGCTAACAACCCAAAGGCTCCTCTCCTGCCACGTTGGCCTTCCAGCGCTTGTCAGTGACGCGCGCCTGGCATGCGGACATCCCACCGTTGCCCAGATGCCCCGCATGAGCTCGGGGCCCTTCTCTGCTCGCGCACCTGGCCCTGCGCACTCACGAGGTTTCACCTGCCACCCGTTTAAGAGCCAGGCTGTTGGCTATAGGCATGCAACAGCCAGTCACAGAAACATGAGGATTGATTGCGGCACGGTTTGTGCCGACAAGTAACCCGCGGTGCTTTTTCACCCAATGGCTTGCTCCACAAATTTCGGCGAGAAGTTGCGTGTTCACTGCATAGATCACTGTTTGTTCACAATTAGCAAAGTTCGAGTCCTTAAAGCTGAGACCAAAGAAGTGGCACGCAACTGCTCAATTCTTGCTGCGCAAACGCAGCGAGTATTTACAAAAGCGCACGTGGCTGGATCGCCTCGCTGATCACTAAAGCATCTTGAAAACCACAGAACTGAGACGAGGTGCCGCGTGGGCATCCAGGTCAAAGCCCAATGGTGTTTTGGACTTGTGTTCAGACAGCATCGAACAACAACCACAAACAAACGAAGCGCTTAGACAAAACTTCAGTGGGAAGCAAGGCTGACACGCTGCAAGTTTTCGTTGTCAAATCAGCAATCAGCTCTGCGCACGACGTGGCATCTGAACTCTCTTGCAACATTGGTAGAAATGACGCGGGAGGTCGGGCCCCCCATAGGAAGCAGGGCAAGGAGCTCTTCCGCAGCTCGCGTCGGGGCTTGTTATAGGGCAGCGCTTTGGGTCGGGCCCACCAGCCGCTGAGAACCCCGGGCGCGCCGTTGGTTCCGACTTGAAAGGCGTTAGCGTTGCCCGGCGAAGGCCTTTGGCTCGACGCCGGGTCTCTCTAGTTTGGGCAGTGCCCTTGAGGCCTCGGGCCTGCTGATCTGTGCTGTGCGCAGGCTGAAACATAGCTGACTTCAGCTGCTGGACTGGACAGCAGGATAAAAAAGTATCAACACCACCCGGCACGTGGCCGGATCGTGCCCGGCACAGCACTCATTGAAAAGGATCACCGATGCATCACCGATGCCCAGACGCTTCAGAGTTTCTGCTCAGAGTTCTGCTCATTAATAGATTTTGATCCTTGGATGCACAGATCTGTATCCGAGCTGACCTACAAAGGTAACTCTCAAAGAGACCTCCTTTTGAAGGGTGATTGAGGACATCAAAAGGAAACTGTTGCCATTGTAAGGACCCCGATCTTGGAGGAAACACCCGTCCAGCCCCAAGAGACCATGGGTGAGCAAACTGAAACCAGCAGGCATGTCAAGCTAACCCCAAAAAAATGTGATTCCCTTCAAAAGACAGGGACTTAGCAATTCCGGGGAGCTCATGAGCAGGGCACCGCCTATCTACAAAGACAACCTATCTACAAAGAGCAACAACCACGGCATTGATCGCGGAAGAGCCGGGCTAGGGACCCACGGCTTCACGCAAGTTTGCTAACGCCATAAAAGTGTGAACTACCCTCCCACCAATTAATATGGAACCTGACTAAGGGGTTCGTTGAAAGAAAAAATGACTGTCAGGACCCCCCTGTCATGGTACATGTTGATTGGCGGAAGAGCTTTACGATTCACCAACTGAAGTAAGCAACCTCGAAGAGCCTTCATGGGTGAGGTCGACTTACCTAGCAGTAGTGAGGTCTCCAATTCGGGATCATGTTCAAACCCCGATGCAAGGAAGTATTGAAAATAGGTCAAGGAAAACTAACACGCAAATGATTGGAATCCAGCAGGGAAGAAGCTTGCACGAGCAATTCGACATCAACAAGATGAACAGCTAAGAAACAAACTGTAAGAGCCTGGCAACCGCGCCGATTGCCCTCCTTTGAGGGAATTGACCCGGATCAACGAACTGGGGAGTCGAGGTTCGCAGCAAAGTGTGACCTCGAGAGGGGTATCCAGCAAGCGACGCAATGTAATTGTAATTCAGGGGTTGTCACAAAATATGGGATCCCTCAAACTGGCTGTTTTCTACCTGGTCTCTCTTCGAACCACTCCCAAGAAACCCCAAGAAGAGTATTTTGAAAACACAAGACCGAGACTGGCTTTGCGAATATTGTCTGCACAGAATTCGGACAGCAATGTCTTTTAGCTGGCTTACCTCCGCTTCGGAACTGCCGGAGCCGAAACAAATCGAAGCTTCTCGGCGAAGGGCCAGGCCTCCCTTGGCAAAGCTGAAAATGGCTCCTGCGGGTAAAGTATTTTTTCCGCATATAGTACTGGGCGCGAAGGGACGGTGAATCATGAACTACCCCGGGAAAACCGGGGTTTTATGACCCTCCTGTCCACTAACAAAAAATACACAAACAAAAAACTTAGGTTTCGGGGTCTGAGACGCTTGTCCTGTAAAGGGGACCATCTTGTGGGTTCCATGCCAGCGACAGGCGACTTTGTCGGAGCCGCGCGACCTCGAACTTTTTTGAGGCCCCTGCGAGCTGTCGCCGATGGCCCAGGAGCCTGCGGGTGCAAAGCTCGACAAAAGGGAAATCCAGGCAATGTTGTTTTAGGCCATGGGAAGTTCGATCTTGACAAACCATTGTCGGGAACCAAGGACAATCAGCCAATGTTGTTTTGGGAAAACTGTTCGGGGTTGCCCCAGTTATAGCGAACCAAATGGAAACCCAATGTTGTTTGTGTAGAGCCCTTTGGGAATGTACCCATCGGTTTTCGATAACCGGAGAGATGGTTGCCTAGGGAAGCGAAAGAAACCCTGTGTTCAAGGGAAACCGAACCGGTCATGGGAAGATCCCTCGTCGAAGACAAAGACAAAGCAGCTCCAAATTTCAAGATGAATGTGCAAGGCTAGGCCCTCACAATCCCTACAATTGGCTCTGCCTTTTTCTGAGGGTACCTTTTTGGGGTTGGTTCAAAGGAAAATCACAAAAACCACCACATATATAGTATATTACATATTCTTTTTTGGGGGGCCGAAGAAGAAATACCCAATTGCCCTCCCAATCATGGAATGTGAGAGGCTTTTGGAAGACCCTGCCCCCTTCCACTGTTGGCATACGGATAGCCAAACACGGGGTTTGGGCACGGACGCCGCGCCTTGCTCCTCGGCTCCGAGACCTGTTGGTCGGAATCCACTTCTTCAGGTACCTCCTGTGTGCGCGTGTGAGAGGGAGCGTGGGAGGGTGGGGCGTGGGGTGGGGTGGGGTATTGTGGCGTGGTGCAGCGTGGCGCGTTCGCGCACACAGCACGCGCGTGTGCGTGTATGTGCGCGTGTGCACGGGCGTGCGCATGACGCACGTGAAGGTGTGTGTGTGTGTGTGTGTGTGTGTGTGTGTGTGTGTGTGTGTGTGTGTGTGTGTGTGTGTGTGTGTGTGTGTGTGTGTGTGTGTGTGTGTGTGTGTGTGTGTGTGTGTGTGTGTGTGTGTGTGTGTGTGTGTGTGTGTGTGTGTGTGTGTGTGTGTGTGTGTGTGTGTGTGTGTGTGTGTGTGTGTGTGTGTGTGTGTGTGTGTGTGTGTGTGTGTGTGTGTGTGTGTGTGTGTGTGTGTGTGTGTGTGTGTGTGTGTGTGTGTGTGTGTGTGT